AATTTGCGAAATTACCTCCGCAGATGCAAGACTGCGTAATATTGAAAAATGTTCTGTGAAACAGCCGAAGTTTTGATAGGTTACCGAAACTTTGTTTCAGATCAGTACTTTTGTCAATAAATTAAATATGGATAAAAAGGTATTATGCAGAATCGAGGCAATTGTAATAGTCAACTCGCTGGATAGTCCATGAGAATTTACGCTTAATTCGTGATGAGAAAGTGGACCAGGTCAGTTGGATTTACGAGTGCAGTATCAGAAGTGATAAAGGAGGTAATCACGCGTGATTTATGAGAACGTCCAAATGATCATTGAAATACATTTTCATGTCTCTCACGTGAAGCACACACATCAACAGTATTTATAACTGAATATTTCGTAATCCATACACTGTATTAATATAGCTCACAACCAAACAATAATTAATACATCAAACGTATTTTAGTTGTGAATTCTGTAAATATATTAACATGTTGTTATATTGAAGGAAAAAAAAAATTCCCTCAAATACTTCATTCTCGCCCGAATGTTTCCTGTAAAAAATCGTATAGATAATTTAAGTGGGGAAAATTACAAGAGCTGGATTTTGGAAGTCAATCCAGCATTTCTCGAAGTGCCTGATAAGAAATTAAACTTCGTGGAAACTGTCCTTTGTAATTTCAGTTTACAAACAGTATTTCTGGGGGGATATTTGTAGGCAGGCCTGACAGTTCCCTCAGGTTCTCGTCGTACGCTCAGATGGCAGCTCTGATGTAGTGGGGAGAGTCCCGCGTGGCTACCCAACCGAATCATGTCACGTGGTAGAAAATGCACACGCAACTGAACTCAGAGTTTCATCAGCTGCAGTCAGTTTTACACTTCCATGTCTGTCGATGACTTCAGAACGAAATTAAATTTTCTATCCCTTATATAAAGTCGTGTTGAATTGAGAAGTAGTAGGTATATGAATAAAGTTTATGACTAACGGAAAATTAATTTCAAAATAAATTTAATTTCTTATTATGTATCACGCCCAGACACGAGGGGTTGTGTTCCTAAACACGCTCTGTGTGTCTTAGTGAGAAGGACCACAGACTGACGTTAAGCTAATCTATGAACGGCGTCTGGGAGTTTTTTCTAGTCATTCAATGGAAGTCGCTCCATACATCAGAGCTACTCTTGATTGCAGTCTCCTCTCTGAACGTTACACGTCGAGAAACAAAGGTAATATATATATATAAATAAATCCGTCTGTTTTGCTTAAAGAGAGTTTTCGTGGAAAATATGTGTAATGCGTGATAAACTTGTCTCACTGCATTATTTTGCATCTTGTGGTTGGTTTAAACAAAATTGTTATTTCTAGAAACTGCAATAGCAGATGGTCGTGAGACAATTTCTACGAATGTTATTTCAAGGTGTTATTTTATTAGTGCGATGTCTTACTGTTTCGTTGTATAACATAAATGTAAAGTATATTGTCTATTGTCAGAGAAATATTAAAACAATAATAAATGTTCTATCTTTTTCATGACTCTGTGTGCTAATTGTTTCACGTCTGTTTCTGTGGTGTGTTCCTTTGAAATTTAATAAGTCAAGGGGAGTTTCGTAAACAAGCCAGTTGAGCATCGCGATCTTCTGGGCACATGCGCAGTAAGCTCTCGAAGGGAGGCCACACGACGCGGTATCCCAGAAGGCTGCCATCTTGATATTCGCCGCTATGAGAACTCGAATTCTCAGATTATGCGTATATTCGTCGAATATTTAGCAAATAAATAAAGGTGAGTTACATGTGTACTTTGTGTTTTACCAGCGTAATTTATGTGGACGTATTTATTACGCATTTCTGAAATCAGAAGATCTTATTTGAAGTTTTCTTGAAATTTGCATATTTCCACTGCACGTTTTAGCATGTATAACCTTTTGTACTGTTCCATGATTGATTGTAGTTATTATTATTTATTTAGTGTTCTGTCTGACGACAGGTCCATATGAACAGGATCCTTCCATCCTTTTCTCGGACTGGGACCTGTTCATATACGTTCTTGGCAGATGATCCAGAAGAGGTTTGCCATTGCCTTCTTCTGTGTGTGAATGGAGTAATCGTTGGGATGCCACGGAGAAACCGGGGAAGCCCCCGGAGGAAAACTCCGTGTTGCCTAGACCACGGCCTTGCCCAACACAAGTTATAAATTCGGGCACCGCCGGGAATCGAACCCGAGACCCCAGGATTACAAGGCCAGCGTTCTAACCGCTAGACCAGGTGTACATTAATGTTAAAATATATTTTAGTTCATGTGATTTTAGATTTTGGTCATAATGTTATTACTGAATCTACAAAAACCTATGTATTTAAATATATTTTGTTTATGCTAATAAATTATGGAATCAGCAGTGACAGGTAACGTATGATGCCTCTTTATCATTCAAAATCTATACGTCGTGGGCCTAGTACAGTTATGTAAAGTTGCAGGTGTTCAGATAAACTTTCGATGGGATGTTGTGTACCGCAGTGAAGTAGTGAGAACGGATGACAACCAGACAGCCTTGCGACAGATTTGTAGTTTCAATAGAGAGTTGAAATGTCGGCCTGGTGACCAGTTATCCTGACACAGGATTTTCATGGCTTTTTCCCCAGTTCGTCATACCGGGATTTACGTTAAATTTGGCCACGGCTAATTCTTCCCGTGTCCAGTTTATTAATGATCATCGTAACATTTGACGCAACGTATATTTTATGTACGGACAGCGTAGTTAAATAATTCACAAATAAAGATGGAAGTCCTCTGGGTTGTTTCACAGTGTTTTCAGGTAGAAGTTCACAGACGTTTCAGATTTGATTACTCTCTGAAGCGTTGGGCAACCTTTAATAAAGTGCATGACGCAATAACCCAGAAGAAACCCATAGATCTTTGCCGATGCGGGAATCTGAAATCTTACAAATCACAAAATGAGGACGGCGATGATTGGTGAGATTAAACTGGAGCAGTTATTTATGGCGGGGTTATATAAGTATTGGACAAAAAAATTGGGTTTCTCGTAGCAGAAAACGACTACGACAAAGTTCACTTGATCGTTGAATCTGTTTCTTGTTTAACTCCGTCAGGAAATGGATGAAACTGAACTTCTTCATTTTGTGCTTGCATTTTGTTTTTTCCTGTCTCCTGATAAGAATATGGGCGTTTTGGGTTTGTAAAACAAAAGTCCTTCAAGACTCTCTGGCCATGGTCCCACTGAAATATCTAGAGGAATTGTGAAACATAATGTTATGTCTTTTTTCTAACTAAATTAAGAGCTTAAAAATCTGTACTCCTCCCCCAATATTGTCAGGGTGATTAAGTCGAGAAGAATGAGATGGGCTGGGCATGTAGCGTGCATGGATGGGGCAAGAGGTGTGCACCAGGTACTGGTTGGGAAGCCTGAGGGGAAGAGACCTCTGGGGAGACCTAGACGTAGATGGGAGGATAATCTCAGGCGGGATCTATGGGAGATAGGAGTTGAAGGAGACTGGATTTTGTTGGCTGAGGACAGGGTCCGGTGGAGGGCTTTGGTTAATTCGGTGATGAACCTTCGGGTTCCGTAAGCCATCTACGAGTAGTTAGTTAAATTAAGAAAATGTATTTGTAGGACATGAAATGTAATTGAGGTGATCTCGGCAACCAGCTAACCGGTTTCAGACTGCAAGGACGCTGGTGTTGCGAGTTTGAATTCTTCTGAAGGTATGGATGATCGCCATTAGCTTTATGTCTTATTGTGTGTTGTCTACTGAAGAGGTACGACTTCTCGATTATCGAAGATGGTCTTCTGGGTTGTAATGCCGACAGGAAAGTACCAGCATTCCGGAGAAACATACTAACTCCATCTTCAGAGTAACTTTAGGCTTGAAGTCAGAGATTGTGTATTCATGTTTCTGGTGCTGTTAAAGTAAACCGACAATCATTCTGTGAGACTTTTGGTTCTTACGGCGGCAAAGGTAAGGTCGACTGTCTTCTGGGATGTTGCAATGTATAAATTGACCAATGTTTAAGAGGTTCTTACTGCCTCCATCATCAGGACCACAATCTTAATTGCCTTAGTACTATACGGATTTAAGCACCTATTTAACGCTTTTAATCATAATTGCCTGAGATGCAACACTTCAGATGAGCACTGAGGTTTATAAGCCTTAAGAATACTGAACTGGTGATTAGATTAATTTAAATTTCTCATTTTATGTTTGTCGTTATTCTGGTATTTTCTTATTTTGTACTTCGTTCGAAGTAAACGTCTATCACTGATTTATCTTGAACGGAAGGACCAAGTTCCGTGTATTTTGGTTTGGATTTTATGACTTCTTCAGGTCCTAAAAGTTTTCCTTTCAGTCCTCAAGAACATCCCCCCCTCACT